CGCGGGCCCGGCCCCGGGAACGGCGTGAGCGTGAGCGGCGGTAGCGCCAGCGAGAGCCGCGAGAGCTTGGCTGCGAGGGGAGAGAGCAGGTAAGCGCCTGTCCTGGGTAAACTGAGGCAGGCCCTCCCACCCAGCTGTGTCCTGGGGTAAGCCCTGGGCATAGTGCAGGCCTTGGTCTTCCGCCAACACCCTGAACTGAAGGGGTGCACCGAGGCTGGCTCCACGCAGGGTGAGAAAGAGCTCGACCCCACTCCTTTGCTTACTCTCCCCATGGCCCCCCAGAACCCAGAGCATAAAGCCCCAGCTTGTCTCCACGGCCAGGCAGGCTAGAGTGCCTGGTCCGGCTTACCTCTCACCTCTGTCGCATTCATTCTTAGTCCAGCCACATGCCCGCCCCCTTCTTTCCACCTCTGAGCCATGGTAGGTGCAGGGCCACCTGCCTGGAAATCCCTTTTCTAGCTCAAGTCCTGCTCCTCCTCCAGCTCTGGGCTTTGGGTCAGGAACACCTGCTGGGTCCCATACCTGGGTCCCTCTCCCTCCCAACAGATTTTCTCAGCATGTAACTATGTTTCTGTGGCATTGTGGTCAGTGTTTGCCTCGCCACGGGACAGACACTTGAGCTGGGCCAATTTGTGGCACATCCCCAGGCCCTGAGCACATAGAAGTACTCAGTCAGTATTTGTGGGATTAATGAATGATGTTCCCTGTTGTTTGACAGTGAGCAAAGTACTTCCCCCCTGTGGCCCTTGATTGCCAAAGCTGGGTGTCTACAAGTCCCTTCTCTAAGCCCTTTGTTCTAAGACGTCCCAGGCTCAGTCTGCTGAGAGGGAAGACTTAGCCTAACTTGCTCCCTTGCCAGTTTTCCTGAATAAGAAGGTCCACCTCTCTGAGCAAACAGAGTTTGCTCACCAGCAAATGAACAGGGGCAACTCATTCCTCCAAAGATGAACTGTGTGCCAGGCCCTGGGGTGGGGGTAGGGTGGGCACTGCTGGGGATGGGGTAGGAGAAGGATGGGTGTGGACTCAGTTACCTTCCTACTCTCTGTTACCTTTCACTGATCTTTTACAGTTCTCTAAACATGCCTGACTAGTGTCCGCTTGATGCCCTCTACCTGGACACCCTTCCTTCAGGTGTCCACTTGGCTCACTCCCTCCTTCCTTCACAACTGCCCAAAAGTCACCTCACTGAGGTCTTCCATGACCAACCATCTCAGGGTGATGGGGTTGGGGGAGGGCTGCTGCAGAGAGAGCACTCTGAGGGGCGTGGGTACCCAGAGGAAGGACAGGTGACAGCCTTTAGAAATCAGGAAGCCTTCCCAGGGAAGGGGAATTTGGGGTAGGGTCTTGAAGGGTGAACAGAGTTCGCTGGTGGAGAAAAGGAAGCCAATTCCAGCTTCTCCTCACCCAGCAACTGAGCCCAACCCAGATCCGCTGAGGAATCTCAGCTGCTAATCCCCAACATTTTCATGCTGCTCACAACCACCCCAAGGAGGTGGCAGTGTGTGACACCACAGGCCTTGCGGAAGGAAAGGCCTGTGTGCTACCCCCTGCAGACCCTTGCCCACGCAGCCACAGGTGACCCTTCTTCAGTGTGGCTGGGGGACCACCGGTGTAAAACAGGCCAGGCCCTTAGAACTCCCACATCAGCAATCTGGCCTCCCAGAGGCTGGGACTGTCCCTATGTCCACATCTAGATAGGGCTGCTTATCTTTCCTGTTTATCTTCTTTTAACAGCCCTCCATGTGACAAGAAGCTTCCTGTGTCCCATCAACATTCACCACTCAGGTGTTCCCTGCCCTCAGCTCACAGTGCCCCTAGGTCCTGGTATGCCCAGAGACAACTTAGCCTACTGTCAAGTTTAAATCAGAGATCACAGGCGGGCAGCAGGGCCTGTGTGTGTGTGTGTGTGTGTGCAGGCTGACTGTCCTCCTTGAGATTGGTCAGCATCATTAATAAAACCCCAGCGCTCTAGTTTAAAAGGGGAGAGTAGCAGCTGGAGCCACCCCAGGTAAACTTCCTGAGGGTGGCATCTCCTCGGGACAAGGCACTGGCTCCCAACCCCTCTTCAGTCCCCTAGCCCACTTTGCCATTGCCCTAAGCATGGGGCCCTGTGGGCATCTGACCTGGAGACCCCTGGTCTAACTGGACTGCAGTGACAGCTGGGACTGAGTCCCGACACTGGATGAGTGCTGTGGACTCCTGGCTCAGCCCTGACAACCACACAGTGAGGCGGGCAGCGCAGTCTGGACATTAGCCCAAGACAGCCACGGGCAAGGGAACAAGCAGGATCTGAGCCCAGCAGTGGCTCCGGGGTCTGCGTTCACCAAGCCAGCCGGGCCTGCCGCTCCTGACCGGGAGCCCCCTGCACCTCGCACCCCGGAAGGAGTGGCCCCCAGACTCCCCACAAACCCCTCACCTTTGATCTGCTCGCTGTTCCCCTGAGGGGGTCCCAAGTCCAAGAACAGTCGTGGCATCTCGGGGCCCTTCCTCTCGGGCTTGGGGGGGTCCCCGTCTCCGCTGGGTGCCGTGTCTCCGGCGGCCCTGCTGTCTGGGACCCCGAGTTCTCCCTCGGGGGCCACCTCCGGCTTGGATCTCTGGGGCGCTGGCTCCGGCCTCCTCAGCTGGGCCTCCAGTGGCGGCGGTGGCAGTGGCTGTGGCCTCATGCTGTCTACCCATCCGGCCTTTGCGTCCACGCCGCTTCCGGGGCCGCCGCCGGGGGCCATCCCCATGCCCACTGGGGCTTGGCCCCCACTCCCGAGGTCCAGCCTCCCAGCCCCGGGGGCTCTCTGCACCCCCCCAGTCTCGTGGGCTCTCCTCTCCGTCCCGGGTTCCAGTGTCCCGCTCTTGGGGGCTGGGCCAAGGGGGCCAGGGGCTGTCTCCAAGCCGTTCTGGGGCAAGGCCACCTCGCCGGGTATGAGGGCTTTCTCCAGTGAGGTCTCTGGGGCTGGCTCCCCGATCGTGGGGGCTGGACCCCCACTCTCGAGCGTCTTCTCCCGGGGCCCTGGGGCTCTCCAAGGCCCAGTCTCTGGTGGTCTCTCCGTGTTCCTGGGGAAGCTCAGGCTCCCATTCTCTGACACCATCTCCTCGCTCTTTGGGGACACCAGTCCCCCATTCACCAGCAGCTTCTCCCCGGCCTCTGGGGACCTCAGCTCCCCATTCTCCAAGGCTTTCTCCTCCTTCCTTGGGGGTGTCAGGTCCCCATTCTCCAGTACTTTCTCTTCTCTCTCTGGGGACTCCAGGCCCCCATTCTCCGCCGCCTTCTCCTCCATGTCCAGGGCTCTCTGACCCCCGTTCTCCAACACTGTCACCCCGTTCACGGGGAGGCTCAGGTTTGGGGCTTTCTTCCCGCCGCCCAGGACTGTCAGGTCCCTGTTCAGGCCTGGGACTTTCTCTCTGTTCCCGGGGCCTCTCCCCGCCTTCCTGGGTCCTGTCTCCCGGGATGTCACCCCCTTGTCCCCTAGGAGGTTCCTTGTCACATCCTCCCGCAGGGACATCAGTAGCTGCTCGGTGCTCACTTGAACTACGAAAGTTGGCTTCTCCCGGTTCCCTGGGGGTGGGTGGGGACCCGGGTCTGGGGGTGGCCGGGGCGCTCCTGGGTCGGGTGGCTCGGGGGGAGCCCGCGGCCGAGGGACCCCTTCCTCCTCGGC